CAAGACATTAAAAGTCCTCGAATTCTCTCTTAGGTGGTGTTGTCCGTAGATTTCAGAGCAAGTGTTTTATGATTACCTTGTGTAGTTAGCAGTTTCTCAACAATCTCTGACCTATCTGTCTAGTCAACCTTTTCCATCCTCTTGTTTCTCCCTCTTTGAGTGAAAGGAAAAAAGAATTTAATGGTAAATCCATTTTGCTTTCTGCAAATTTAAGACATGCTAAATCAAGTCACTGTTTGGTCAAGTATTACAAGATTGTTAACAATAAAAAATACATCGATTCCTTTATAATTTTGATTGTTCACTTAAAAAATTGCCACTCTAAGGTTTACGAAACATCCTGGGCATTGTCAAAGAATATTGTATTGGTGTCTAACATATTTCATGATACAAGGGCCCTTCAGAGCTGTGTAACTTCACAAGGAGCTAAAGTAAAGCCTTGGGGAATTCCAAGCTTGCCTTATTTTTAATTTAAAGTCCACCATGCGCTGGTATTACCAACAGTTCAAATAAAATATCTTATGTACTATTCAAATATTTGTGGACCATTAAGCTTTTCTATAAATAAGGATGTCTATTAACCAAACAAATTGGAAAAAACCAGTGAGATCTGTCAACGCCTTTGGATACGATCTTTTGAAATTTAGAGGATTAAGCAATCAGTGCCAGCATGGATCTACCATTCACATGCAGTGAGTTTCTGGCTTTATGTTTCCTAGGGAAAATTTCATCATGCAGATAAATGACAAAGACCTAATTCACAGCATTTTAAACTACCATAATTAGGTTGCAGTTTGTGCCATGAATGGAATGAGGCTTTATCAAATATGGGCATTCCCATAACACACAGATAAAAGGTAGAAAAGATACTTGGGGAACTGAGAATGTGGAGCAGGGTTTGGAAATGTCGTCTCTGGTCAATGAGAAAGGGATAGCTAAAATCAGAGATGATGGTAGGTGGTTAAGGAAATGATGTGTTCAAAAGGCAAACCAAAGTTGAGGTCTAATGGCCATAAAGTCCTTATGGCTGGGTAAATTACCACAGCAAATACCATAAAGTGATTAACATCTTTTTCTTTTCTTTTTTTTTTTTGAGGAAGATTAGCCCTGAGCTAACGTCTACTATCAATCCTCCTCTTGTTTCCCGAGGAAGACTGGCCCTGAGCTAACATCTGTGCCCACCTTGCTCTACTTTATATGTGGGATGCCTGCCACAGCATGGCTTGACGAGCGGTGTGTAGGTCCACACCCAGGATCCAAACCAGCGAACCCTGCCTGGGCCACCAAAGCGGAATGTGCGAACTTAACCGCTTGCCACTGGGCCAGGCCTGCGATTAACATCTTAACTCCTAGTTTACTAATAAGTTTTCCAACTCCAATAATAAGTTTATTAGTATAAAACTAATAAAATTAGTTTATTAGTAATTTTTGTGTGTGTGTGTGAAAATATTTTTAATTTTATATGGAGGTCAAAATGAAAAGGTTTTCTTTATAACTATTTTATGAAACATAATTCCATAAAGCTAGAATATGTCTATGCAGAATTATTAATAGCAAATATTTTCCTGAGCACTGTCATATCTTAGATACAGGCAGATTCTGAGAGAAATAAATATACATATAAAAATGTATTTCTCCCTCATCTCTCCAAACTCTTACCAGTTTAGTTCTATTCCAGTCAAAATGAGACCTACCTAGAAGTGGAGAGAAAAGGACCATGCATGAGTCATAATAAAGGAGTAAACTGTACTTTGTTCCCTTTCAAACTTTTGTTTTATACATTTCCTTCCTAATTTACCTATCAACGATTTCTTCATTCATTAATAAAATATTGGGCACCCTGATCTCTAGCTTCATCTACCAACTGCCTACTCATCAACTCCCCCTGGATATCTAATCTGCATTTCAAACTAACAAGCCCCAAACAGGATTCTTGAGCATCTCTCCTAAGCCTGCACCTTTCTCGGTCTTCCCAACTCAGGAAAAGGCCACTCTATTCCTAGAGTTAATCTTGAGACTCTTTTCTCTCTCCACATTCAATCCATCAGCAAATCCTGTCAATTCTAATGTCAACATTATGTCTAGAATTCCACCCTTTTTCTTCACCTCCATCATTTCTCCTCTAGTCCAAGCCAGCGTCACACCCTGCCTCAACTATTACAATAGCTTAACTGGGTTTCTGCTTCTGTTCTCGTCTCCCTGTCTTCTCTTCTTGACACAGTAGCCAGAGTGATCTTTGGAAACTTTTTATGTATCACGTCAGTCCTCTGCCCAGAAGCCTCCAATGGCATTCCATATCACTCAGAATAAAAGCTAAAGTCTTTACCACGGCTGAATAAAGCCCTAATAACAAGAATCTGAAAACACTTTTGATTTAATTAAAATAGTTGGCTCAAAAATTATACAATGAAGTGTGACTGGTCATGGCTCAGACCGAAGGCACATACTCAAATTTGTCAGTGCTGACTATCAAAACTGAGGCTTAATCTTTGATACAGAACTACATTCACAAGTCTGCAAGGACACATGTACAAGTAAGTTCAGTACAACATTATCTGAAATAGCCAAAACCAAGCAACAATCTCAATGTTCATTAATAGAGGAATGGCTAAGCAATTCAGGGCACATAACCATACTAAGGAATACCATGACGCTGTTAAAAAAACGTGATGAATCTTTATGTATTCACATGGAAGGATCTTTCTCTCTCTCTCTCTCTAACACACACACACTCTTCACTTTATTAATTCCAAACTGAGGGCAGTTTCCCACATATACCTGCTGTTGCACAGGCTCTTCCCTCTGAATATCTCCACCCTCCTCACTGTACCAATTTCTACTCATTCTTGAAGACTCATCTCAGGGTATCATCTCCTTAAGGAAGCATTTACTGACTCCTCTGGCTGGGTAGGGCAGGTGCTCAATGCTGCTAACTAGATTAAAAGATAAAAAAATACCTACATTTTCTATATTCTAAAAACTAGCTTGAAACTTCATTCTAAAATTTAAGTGCAGAGGCCGGCCCCATGGCTTGGTGTCTGAAGGTTAAGTTCGTGCGCTCCACTTCCACAGCCCAGGGTTTTGCCGGTTCGGATCCTGGGTGCGGACATGGCACTGTTCACCAGGCCATGCTGAGGCGGCCTCCCACGTCACACAAGTAGAGGTACTCACAACTAGAATATACAACCATACACCAGGGGCAGGGTTTGAGGAGAAGAAGGAAAAAAAAAAGCAAAAGAAGAAGATTGGCAACAGATGTTAGCTCAGGTACCAACCTTTAAAAAAAAAAAATTAAGTGGTATCTACTCTCTCTTTCCCTCAAATCCAATGTAACTTAAACAGCTTTATTGGGATATAATTAGCACAACATACAATTCACCCATTCAAATCACACAATTCAATGTTTTATAGTACATTCACAGGGAGAACTATTTTTTTTTAACAACACTAAAAATAGTCTCTGAGTTTGGAAACCATCAATTTGTGATTATTATAAGATAGAACACAGAGGTGGTAAAAAAAAAAAAGCAATTATTACATCTTATATAATTGACGTAAAATACTTCCTTGAGAAAATCCTTCTGGGGACCACATTATTGGGCTTATAAGAGTAGGACAGAAACCTGCAATACTTTTAATCTCATCGATTGTTAAAAAAAGACATCTGTAGGGCTCAATAAATATTTGTTGAATGAATAAAATTTCCAACTATCTAGTAAATATTTCCACCTGGATATCATCTCAATCCGTCATATTCAACATGTTCCGAATGGAACTCATTACTTACTGGTTTCCTTTGTAACTTCCACATTCCCATTAATGGTATCAGTATTTCCCTCATAGTCATCTTTGACATCTGGCTGTCCTTCATTCTGTCATATTCTGTAATTTTTACTTGTAATTTGATGGCTGCAAATTCACTCCGGATACAATTCTCCTTCTCTACTCAGCCCACCTGAAAACCCTCCTGAAGTTACTAGCCTTTGGTGTTTTGATGCATGTAGTGTGAACTACAAATTTAAGCCTCAGTCCAAACTCAGTTCACAATCACAAAGTGGGTCTGCCTCATCACATAAAGAAAATAATACCCTTTTAAGACACCAAGAATAGCCATTAATAAACATTTTAAAAGATGCCTCTTCAAGGAGACAGGAAGCTCTGGTGCAATCTTGTATCTTTCTAATACTTATTACTGTTATCCTTAACTAAATCTAACTTTCCTTACCTCTGAAATCTTATTAGAATGCTAATGCAGTCCTGGAGACTCCCTTTTCATCACATACCTCTTAGAGACCATATTTATTTTTGGCATTGCAAATCAGTTAGCTACTCAGAAATTTGCTCTAACTCTCCTATTCTCTCAGGTAGTATAAAAAGATAACGAACACATCTTAGAACTGTAACAGAGTGTACATATGTCACAATTATTCTCTGCAATAAGTTCTACTTTCATAAGATTTTCTGCCCTTTGCTATTATTACCCCCAGGATTTACTAGTTAGGTATTTCCTGAAATTTACATTCAAGTTTCTATTTGTAGTCTGATATGGCATCTAAACGTAGATTCGTTAAAAAAAAGATTTTTAAACAGCCAAGTGAAGCTTTAATTAAAGAATCAGAAATTTACTAATCTGATATGAAACATCAGAACATGCCCTAAAACTGAGGAGGAGAACAACAATGAAAATATAAGTGTTTGCATTTTTTTAGTGTCCTAAAAACAAACAAACTAAACAAAACAAACCAGATTACTGAAATTAGAGGAGGTTAATCAGCCTGCAACTTATATTGCAAAAGTCTGTTGTTGCTGAGATTAGCCTGAACTTGCTTCAGCTTCTATAAACCACCTCTAACACTCAGAGTATCTTTTTAATTTTCAGTTACAAAAATATGTGCCTGCCAGAAAACAACTTTTAGGCAAATCCACTCTCCCAACCCTACCAAGGATTTTGATTAATTTTATGCTAGGTCAGGAGATAACCTAGAGAAGCAATACTGTACCGTATGAGAGTCCTTAGGAGAGAGTACAAGTATCTGAAAGCCCCACGTCCCTCTGTAGCATCAGAATTTAATGAAAATTCCATTGCAGCTAAGATAGCTTTGTCCTTGTTCCACAAGATGGAGTGACATCTCTAGCCCCACCAAGATCTCCATGAGGTTGGGGGAGAAAGAGGTACCAGCCTTTTAAATCTGGGAGATTCCAATAAAGAGAAAACAAGACAGTTGTTTCAGCATCAATTATTAAGAGCCTTTATCCTGTCTTCTTCATGCCAGTGCAATAGTTACATTCACATTTCTCCTGCCCTGTGCTGTATGGAACTCTCCAAGGTTCTGACCCTTAATGGTAGCCTAGTAACCTAAAGAGTGGCACTTGGAAAACTAAAGGCCATGGAAAACAGAACGGCAGGTTCAGTGGTCCTCTGCCATTTCTAAATCTTGATTCAAATATCTCACGCCTACTTTGGCCTTACTCTGATCATTCCATCTCATCCCTGGTCTACACCTGCCTCATACCACCCCTGGTACATAACCAAATCCTATGAAATTCCTACAGTGTCTGGATCTATTTCTTTCTTCCTTGTTTCAAACATTCTTCCAATCCACTATTTTAGAAACCTGTTCAATGGATTGTGGGAGAAGGGTCAGATTTAATTTAACCTTGATTTGTTTGGTTAGATTAGAGCCAATGCAACTGGAGAAAAAATATTTCTCTCAACACTTTAAATATTTCACTCTACTCACTTCTTGCTTGCTTGGTTTCTGAAGAGAAGCTGGATGTAATTCTTATTTTCGCTCCTCAGTAGGCAAGGTGTTTTTCTCCTCTGGCTTCTTTCAAGATTTTTTCTTTATCTTTGATTTTCTGCAGTTTGAATACAATATGCCTGGGTATAGTTTTTTGGGCATTAATCCTGCTTGGTGTTCTCTGAGCTTCTGTGATTGGTGTCGGACATTAATTTGGGGGAAATTCTCAGTTATTATTGCTTCAAATATTGCTTCCGTTCCTTTCTCTCTCTCTTCTCCTCCTTCTCCACTACACATATACCTTTTGTGGGTGTCCCACAGTTTTTGGATATTCTGTTCCATTTTTTTCTACTCCTTTTTCTCTTTTTCAGTTTTGGAAGGTTCTATTGACATATCCTCAAGTTTAGAGATTCTTTTCCCAGCCATACCCAGTCTATTAATGAGTTCATCAAAGCCATTCTTCATTTCTGCTACAGTGTTTTTGATCTCTCTTTCTTTTTGATTCTTTCTCAGAATTTCCATCTCTCTGCTTATATTATTCATCTGTTCTTGCACGTTGTCTACTTTTTCCTTTAGAGTCCTTAGCATATTAACCATAGTTGTTTTAAATTCCCAGTTTGATAACCCTAACATCCCTGTCATATTTGAGTCTGGTTCTGATGCTTGCTCTGTTTCTTCAAACTGTGTTTTTTGCCTTTTAATATGCCTTGAAATTATTTGTTGAAAGCCAGACATGATGTACTGGGTAAAAGGAACTCTAATAAATAGCCTTTAGTGGTGTGGTAGTGAGATGTAGGGGAAAGAGAAGTGCTCTACAGTTCAGAAACTCACAAAAGTGTGGAGTCCCCCCCACCCTGATGACTGGACCCCCCTGGAGTTTTTAACTCTCAGACTTGTCCACACTGAGCTTCCAGCAATTCATCATTCAGGGTTTCCTACCTCAGTACTGGTTCCCACAGAAGTTTTTGCTTGTGGGCTTCTGCTCTGGTAAGACATGATTCTCTGTATTCGCCTCTCTGTCTCTCCAATGCTGGGAGCAGCGGTTTGCCCTGTGACTGATGATTCTTTAGTCTGTTCAGTTTTTTACTTGTTAGGATGGAGTGATGACTTCCAAGCTCCTTATATGCCAGGCCAGAAACCAGGAAAACACATTTCCACTGTATGAATTCCAAAGACTGTTTCCTCCCTCCCAGAAAGTGCTCTGAAGCCCCCAAGCCAAAGAGGAAAAAGAAAAAGATAAGGGTAAGATGATGAGAAGCAGTAAGAGTTCTCTTGTTTCAATTATGCCCGTCAGAAGCACTCAAAGTAGTTAGGCCATTGTGAGCAGGGAAACAAAAAGCAGTTTACAATATCCTGACTGAGAACTCATTTCTCTGAGGTATGTTTGTGGGGGGAATGTTTCAAAGAACTGTTAAAATTAACCCCAAAAGAACACCTGGAATCTTATCTCACTCTCTTCTACACTCCAGCCTGCCCAGCACCAGTTTATACTGACCCAACCTTTTCCTCTGGTGAAAAATAGTCAGAAAATATGATTTCCCCTGAGAAACTCTGAAATTCTCTCAAAAACAGTTTCACAGAAAAATAAGGAAAAGGACAAGGTTATGCAGAACTGGCTCAAACACTTTATAAGCAGATTAAACAAGAAAAACTTTGATTTTATTTCTTATTAATTTTGCACATACTGGATGGAAAGTGGAAGGCAGAAGGCATTATGCAGTGTTTGTCTAGTACCAGCCCAGGGGTTTCCTCTAATTTCTCCATAGGGAGGGTGAGGGGCAGGGCAGGGTGTGGGGCACAGAATGCTGTAATGGTTAGAGCACAGGCTCTGGAGTTATAATGCCTGGGTTCGAAATCCAGTGTCACCACTTTTTAGCTGTATGACCTTGGACAAGCTACTTTTCTGTGCTTTTTTCTTCTAAACTATAAAACAGAGATAATAACTGTACCTACCTCAAAAGCTTTTTATGAATTTTAAATAATTAGTATTAAACACTTAAAATAAAACCTGGCACATGGTATCATCAAGAGAAATTCTTGTCAACTCTAAACTTCAAAATTTATCCTGAAGCTGACTGCTTATTACCACCTGTACGACCACCTCCTGAGTCCAAGCCACCATTATCTTTTGTCTGGAGCTTGGCAACAGTCCTAACCAGTCTCATCTCTGCTCCAATTCTACTCCAGTCTGTTCTCCAAACAGAAATCAGACTGACCACTTAAAAACTAACTCACACCATGTCATTCCTCTGCTCAAAGTTCTCCAATGGCTTCTAGTCAGCATAAAATCCAAAGTCTTAACCGTGGTCTATTAGGCCTGACATGATCTTGCCTATTACCCACCCTGTCCCATGCTCCTTTCCCCATACCCTATCATTTCTACCTCACTCTGCTCTGGCCACATTGGGTTCCTACCTCAGAGTCTTTGCCTTGCTGTTCCCTCTGCCTAGATAGCTACATTGCTTTCTTCCTAACCTAATTCAGGTCTCTGCTTGAATGTCTACTCATCACAAAGGTCTCCCTCTAACCACTGTCCAGGGACTCTATCTTTACTCTGCTTTATTTTTCTTTTTAGCACTCTTCTCCACTTGCCAGTTCGTATATTTGTCTGTTTACTGTATTTCTTCCTCTCTTAGGATGTAAACCAACTCCATGAGGACAAGGACTTTGAATTTTTTTCTCTGCATCCCCTGGGTCTAGAACAATGCTTGGCACATAGTTAAGGCTCAATAAATGTTTGTTGAAGTAATAAATAAATATTCATTGTTATTTTTCTATCTGTGGCATCTATTTCATATCAAAATATTCCAAAAGCTTCCAACCAGGACTTCATGCTTCCAGTCTCTTCTGTTTCCAGTCTATCTTATGTACCACAAGACTATTCTTACTGAAACACTGTGTTTGTAATGTTACCGTTCTGCTCAAGCACACTCCTCTCTGACCTCAGCAGTTCCTCAGTGTGTGCTGCAAGACGTTAACAGATGTTATACGAAAGGAGAGACTCGGTGATTAAGAAACTTTGGAAAATACAAGATTAGAGAAGTTTGTGTTATTTTACTACACAACTTCTCAGAGTATTTAATTTACTAATGTACAATGCAAGCCTCCTGGAGAAGAGTTTAATATTTCTCACTGTTTGTGACTACAGAATGAATCCTTTTTCAAGGGGCCAGTCAAGGACTTGCTTTTATAAAACATGCTGTAGGAAATACTGGCCTGTAGAGGTATCTAAGACCATTTTCAACAGTGGCCATCAGGGTCCTGCTTCCTTTCCCGAATATCTTATTCGGGAAAATTCCACATTCTATGGGTTCTCTTTCTTATCAACAGAGTTTATTAAGCAAAAAACCCCAACTCCCCACCCCCAACCAAACTGTAGATTTGTACATTGGCATATATCTTTGAAAAGAAGAGCCTTTCTGGGCTTCTAACCTACTTTAGCTTTCCTTTTGATCCATAAAAAACCTGGTTCCTCAATGAACATATGTTGTATTTTGAATCTTTTGCTTGCATACTGTATCAAGCAAGGAGAGGGTGTCATACACAGTAGATACTCAGTATATTTAGATTCATCTTAATAATTAGTATGCACAAATTCAGCAAGATACAGGCCATGCAAAATGTGATACTCCTTACTAGAAATTAATCATGAAAATCATATTAGATAACACAGGGTGGATAGTAAATGTATGAGGTTTAGGTTTTGGAAAGAATGTCTTTCCTGGTACCATAATCTTATAAAGTATGCTCATTGTGAATAAGGGACTTTCTCTAAATTGTATTTCAAACTTTGCAAAAATTTTGTGTGACTGAATACTCAATATTTCTTATGACAATAGTAAGAAACACTGTATCACTGAAATCAATGTATTCATTACTGAAAATCTCTAAGGAAGGATTGTGTCTATAAGAATTCAGAAAATAGACCCAAAAGAGGTATACATCAGAGATATTTCAGGGTACCTGTCTGCCATTCCCTGTTCAGACAGTCCTCACTCATAGTGTGAAGTGGCTTTATTTTATACTATGTATATACTATATACTATACCTCCTTCTCCAGGCCATAGATAACTGGGAAAGGGGTACATACCTGATCCAAACATAATTGTAGTAAATTGTCTTCCATCGTGATAGAACTCAAATTTTCTTCAGGTAAAATTCCCACAGTAAATTTCATTTTAAAAGAAGAGCTTATACTCCAGTGCATATGGACATACACCTTTGAACAGAAGGAGTTTTCTGGGTCCCCATCCACAGACTGTCATTCCTTTCCACTCTCCAGATATAAGGCTTCATTTACCACAGAGGAAAATGATGTCTATTCTAACTCCAGAGATGGGCCTGATTTAGTCTCTAGGTCAACCCATTCCTCTTACCAGAGATGGGTTTAGGAATGGTATATTCTGGTGGCTTCTCTTTCTCACCGAAAGAGTTTACTAATCCAAAAAGTCTCTAAACGCAAGTCCAGTCAATGAGACACAAGGGGGGGAAGTCTGCTCATTTCCAGAGCAGATTTTAGGAAAATTTTTCTCATTCCTAAGAAAAAGCCACAGGAAGAAATGGCCACTTCCTTTTCTGAATGTTATTGCATCTGGATGTGACGACTGGAACACCTAGCTGTAGCCATTTTACTAACGATAGAGCCAATCCTGAGGATGGCAAAGTGAAGGGATGCAAAGAACCCAGGGTTCTTGATGACACTGTTGAATCTCCAATCAACCAACTGTAAGGGCTGCCCTTCCTCCTGACTTACTGTTACAGGAGATAACACATTTCCCCATTTTTCAGCCAATCTGAGTCAGGGTTTTATCACTTGTAGCTGAAAGACCACTGGATCAAAAAGGATACTGTGACTTGGACTGAGTGAGTTAGGTGAATCAGATTCTTTCTCCTGGGAAGTACTAGCACTGAGAGACAAAGTGGGAAGCTGCCAGTTAGTTGTGAGGAACTGAACTGAAAGAGTATAGAAAAACAGGAAACTCATAGGAGCCATTGTAAAAGGAATAAGCAGAGAGAACAAGAGACAGAGGAGAGACTGAAAGGGATAGAGAGATGTGTAGCAAGCAGGGAAGCCATTAGAAAGAACAAGACTGATCCTTTAAGGCAAAGATATTCTTTTAGCTTTTTAGCTCCCATGCTGCCTGGCTAAGCTTTTCTTACTCATGAATTACTATAACCTTACACTGTGTCTCTTCATGAGAGATAGGATGAGTGTTCTCTGCTACTCAACAATCCCTGTCTTAGGACACACAAAGGTAGATGGAAAGGGGAAAGTCAAATTAGACTAAAATTGCAAATTAAAAGGGGACAAAAATAGGAGAGTGACATCAGCATCATGGTGGAGTGAATTGTTTCCTTAGTTTCTCCCTTTTAAGTTACAACTAAATGGACATTTATTAATCAGTAGAGGATTTCCTGCACAGCACAACAGGACATCTGAGAGATCCATGCAGCTATACATCTGAAGGTGGGTGGACCAGATCCCTGGGAGGCAATGGAAATGGGTGAGCATATCCCTTCCCTTCCCCTCCCCAGCGGCAGCAAGCCAGATCGCAGATCCACAACGGCTGGCACAACTGTAAGAGGAGGTGGGAAAGCCCAGTCTACGCAAACGCTTTCAGAGTTGCAGCCCAGCCTGTGGAAGCACCCACTGTACCACGGCAGCCCTGCTGGTGGAAACACTCTATACTGAGTGACAGCGGCTCAGCCCCCACGAAGGTGCCCACCTACTGAGCGCAGTGCAGGTGAGAAGGTGCCCTCCCTGCTCAGAAGGTGCCCCCGCCCACAAAGCATAGCAACCTGCAGGACCCACTGAATGGCAGCTCAGCCCCTGCATGGTTGCCCCTTGCCCCTAGGCAGGTAGGCAAGAAGGCACCCCATCTGCTCAGAAGTCCATCTGCTCCCTGTCCATGGAGCACAGCAGCTCACAGGACCCACTGAGTGGTGGCTATGCCCCCATGAAGGTGCCCTTCCCACCTAGCACACAGCAGCTCAGCCAGTCCCCTGCCAAGCAGAGAAGCCTCGCTTTATGGTGCCCGACCTGCTCGCCCAGCACAGAGGCCCTGCCCATGAGGGCACAACCTGAAGAGTGGCTGCAGCCAGTTTGCACAAACACATAGTAGCCCTACCTGCATAACTTCCAGCAGATGAAGCAGGATCAGACAACATAGCTCCTGCTCACCCCCAGTGGTGGCAGTTGGAACCTGTGACCTGAAACTACCACAAGTGCACTGGCAAAGGATCAATTAATCAAATATCATGAAGAACTACAGTAACACTTCAGAGTAGAAGGAAAATGACAAGTCTCCAGAAGCCAACCCTGAAGTCACAGAAATGTACAATCTAAATGACAGAGAATTCAAAATAGTGGTCATAAAGAAACTTAATGAGTTACAAGAAAACTCAGAAAGACAATTCAATGAGCTCAGGAATAAAACTAATGAGCAGAAGGAACACTTCACCAAAAAGATTGAAACTCTAAAAATAAAAAACAAAAAGAAATTCTGGATTTGAATAACACAATTAATGAGATAAAAAACAATCTATAAATCATAAAAAGTAGAGCTGACATTATGGAAGACAGAATTAGTGAATTAAAGGACAGAAATATAGAAATTCTTCAGGTAGAGGAGGGGAGGGAACTAAAATTTTTTAAAAAATGAAGAAATTCATTGAGAAATACCCAACTCAATTAGGAAAAGTAATATAAATATATAGGTATTCCAGAGGGAGAAGAAAGGGAGAAGGGAGCAGACAGCTTTTTCAAAGAAATAATAGCTGAGAAATTCTCAAACCTGGGGAAGAAACTAGACTTACAAGTAGATGAAGCCCACAGAACTCCTTATTACATCTATGCAAAAAGACCTTCTCCAAGGCCTATTAAGCATACTATTAAAACTGGGAAAAGCCAATGACAAAGAAAAAATATTAAGAGCAGCAAGGTCAGAAGAAAATAATCTACAAAGGAACCCCTATCAGGCTTTCAGCAGATTTCTCAGCAGAAACCTTACAGGACAGGAGAGAATGGAATGATATATTCAAAATACTGAAAGACAAAAACTTTCAGCCAAGAATACTCTATCCAGTGAAACTATCCTTCAGATACAGTGGAGAAATAAAAGCTTTCCCAGATAAACAAAAAGTGATGGAGTTCATTGCCAATAGACGTCCCTTACAAGAAATGATGAAGGAAGCCCTCATACTTGTAACAAAAAGGCAAAGGTTTAAAAAACCTTGAGCAAGGAGATAAACAGAATCAGAAAATTGCAGCTCTATGTCAGAATAGGTCAGTAAACACTTAACTACAACATCAAAGACAAAGGGAAAAAAAGCATCAAAAATAACTATAAGCAGTTCAATTTAATCACAAACTCGCAACACAGAAAAGAACAATTTGCGACAACAATAACTGAGAAGGGGAAGAGAAAAGGGATGGAACCTACTTAGGCTAATGGAGATAAGAGGCTATCAGAAAATGGAGTTTCTCATCTATGAGATCTTTTCTACAAACCTCAGAGTAATCACTAAACAAAAAATCAGAGCAAAGCCACAAATCACAAATAAAGAGAAAACTGAGAAAACCATCACAAACCACCAAACTGAAATGGCAGTCAGAAATACAAGAGAAAAGAAACAATGGAAATAAAGAACAGCTGGAAAACAAGAGATAAAATGCCAGTA